CCTCCCCCTGACGACAACCCCGAAGCCCGACCGAATCTAGACAAATCCACATAAACCTAAACTGGCAAGACCTGCCAAAGACACGGCTGGACATTCCTCCCCCGGTGACAACCACGAAGCCCGACCAAATCTAGACAAATCCATAGAAACCTAAACCGGGTAGACTTGCCAAAGACACGGCTGCACACGCCCTTCCCCGACGACAACCACGACGACCGACCGAATCTAGACAAATCCACTAGAAACCTAAACCGTCCAGACCTGCCAAACACACGGCTGGACACACCCTCCCCCGACGACAAGCACACCGACGAAACTTAAAGACTCCCTCCAGAAAACATGAAGAAAAAAAATCACCCATACTACTGCATGACAAGTTTAGGTCTGACGTCGAGCTCGCCCTCGTCCAGGACCACGCGCCGACTCCCTCTTCTCCGATGACCTAGCCAGGTCGGACCGCCATTGAAGACCGCAGTGTAGGATCACCAACACCGCCCGTCGACCACCGCTTGACGAACACCGCCACACAAGCACACATCTCCCTCGCCATCCCATAGTAGACCCCCTCGCCATCGTGTCCGCATGAGCTTTGCCTCGGCAACGGCGACAAGGGAGGGGAGTAGACGGGACGACTGCTAGGGTTTCGACCGCCCGTCTGGTCCTCTCTCACGAAAGGGTAGATTCACCCAAATATAGCTCACCCTTTTTTGTCAATACTAGGGTTAGTTGCATAACCCGGTCAATTCGACACATGGCTCCATCCTCATCAAACAAGAAGCATCAACAAACATTTTTGGCATCATCATTAGGCTACGAGTACACGCTAACCATCCATCCATCCATTAACCCCCCACTAATCATCATCACAAACAACCTCAGCCCAACGTCCCTCGCAAAGCCATCACGGGGTGCGCGTAGCAAAGCGGAGAACGGCGGATTTCCTCGCCTCTCCCCTCCATTCTTTTTACAGCTGTGTTCCTTCCGCTTCTGCGCTCTCACTCGAGTGACCCAAACTTTAATGCCGCTTGCTCCCCTGCTCCCCCTCCCCCTCCCAATCCCTCCCACATTGATGCGCCGGAGCCACGCCGACGCGCCGCAGCTGAGCTAGTCGCCGGAGCTGGGACAGCTCCAGCCGGCGGCACAGCGCGCGGCAGTGAGTGAGGCGACGGGGATAGCGACAGCGGGGGTGGTTGGTTGGTGCTGCTGCTCCAAGAACCCTAGAGGAGCACGCGGGAGGCGGCCGCCAGGGGTTTCTCGCCGCCAGCCGTCGCTCCACAGGTGATCTCCCCGCCTCCACACACTCTCCCCCCTCCCCCGTCCGGTCCGTTCGCATTGGGGCCGGCGAGTGCCTCCTCTGCTCGGAAGCTGCGCCGCCGTAGGCGTCCGTCCATGGCGCGCGCGCGGGTTCTTGGCTACCGGATCCTGGTAGTGCCTTTGATCCAATGCGTCCGGAAGGGCTTCTGAGATTGGTTTGGCTCGATTCGATTGGATTCTTTCCCCGGGTAGCGAGCAAGAAAGCGCCGAATCTTTTCTTTTGCAACGGAGGCCCAAGGGGAAAGCTTTGATTTGACGGGGATATGCGCGATTCGTTTCGTTCTTGCCCCATTCGCTCCCAATCCCCAGGTTCTTGATCTGGCCGTGGCCTTGAGCTTCCAGGAGTTCACAGTTAGTTGTAAATGTGTATGTGTTAGTAGTGTTCATCTCGGGAGGGGGCAGGTAGTCGTCGGGGAGCAGACGGTTCATCATCATTGACTGGCTTGCTCATCTAATTAATTCACTTCACATGGAAATTGTGCCTCATGTTCTTCCTTTTGATATTTGTGGTGAATAATGACTGCTTGCTGCTCTTATTATTGCTCTATTTATGCTGTCCTCACCCAGATAAGTAGGAGTATGTTATCAATGTAATGCACCTTTTCATCCCATCTCCAGTCAAAAGCATGCCATGTTCTGATAGTATTAATCTCGGTTTGTCTTCACTGCTGTGTCCACTGATGTTTATGGCACGTTCTGGTATTAATCCCAGCTGGTTTTCCTTGCTCTGTTCAATCAAGTGTGTTGCCATGTTCTGGTATTAATCTCTTTTTGTCTTTCTTACTGTGTTCAGTGAAGTGTATGCCATGTTCTGATTTTAATCTCTTTTCGTCTTTGCTTGCTGTGTTCAATGAAGCGTATGCAATGTTGTCCTCATATTAATCCTGCTCATCTTTGTTGCTGTGTTCAATGAAGTGTATGCAATGTTGTCCTCATATTAATCCCAGCTTATCTTCCCTGTTGTGTTTAATGAAGTGTATGCAATTTTGTCATATTAGCCTCAGTTTGCTTGCTGTGTTCAATGAATTGCCACCTTGGTTTTGGTTATTATATTACATCCGGTTGAGTGGATGCTAAGCTAACACTACCTTACTGATCCTGGTGTGCAGGCCGCTCCAAAACAGAGATGGTGACAGCCGAAAGCCTACGTGCCGAGCTGTCATCCAAGACGCCACCGTTTGGCCTCAGGCTGTGGATAGTGATTGGCATCAGCATCTGGGTGGTAATCTTCTGTATACTAGGTTTCATGTGCTTCTGGTCCATTTACCGGAGGAAGCCGAAGAAGTCTGTTGATAAGATCCCAGTATCTCAAATCCCCGATGTATCAAAGGAGATTGCTGTGGATGAAGTGCGCCAACATGCTGTTGTTGAGAACTACCAAATGCAAGAAAGCCACACGTTGACGGTGCAGGAGAAACCTCATGAAAAAGATTCTGGGAAAATGCTGGGACACTTGGTCAGGACAAAGTCGAGTGATGCTGATAATTTGAGCCAGTGCAGCTCGGCCTACCAATGCGATAGGGCCGGTAGTGCTTACTCTGGCGATGAAGGCAGCTCGGGCAACGCTAGGAGGCAATATTCTCAGTATGCGACCATCTCCGCATCTCCTCTTGTTGGTCTCCCGGAATTTTCGCACTTGGGTTGGGGCCATTGGTTCACTCTGAGGGATTTGGAGCATTCGACGAATCGCTTCTCTAAGGAGAACATCATTGGAGAGGGTGGATATGGGGTGGTTTACCGTGGTCGACTCATAAATGGGACTGATGTAGCAATAAAAAAGCTACTGAATAACATGTAAGGAACTCTGGATTAGATTTGGTCCTTGAGGGTCACATTTTCTTTACAAAAACTTGCTCTGTGTGATGTCACCATACTGATTGTGTTTTGATATGGCACTGCAGGGGCCAGGCAGAAAAGGAGTTCAGGGTTGAAGTTGAGGCTATTGGCCATGTCAGGCATAAAAATCTGGTCCGTCTGCTAGGATATTGTGTTGAAGGAATCCACAGGTTAGCTATTTTCAGTCACCTGCACCATTGGATGGCTAGTTTCATTTGTGCAGTAAAATTTGTTTACATCAAATGGCTACTGATTTATGTTCACTTGCACACTAGAGTTGATCAGTCATTAACTCTTGACCACAAAATATGAAGTTTATATCATTTCAAACATTTTTTTTCTTTGTGGAACTGTCAAACATTTATAGCTCGACTCAACTTCATAATAATGCATGTGCCAAAGTACATCCATCTTGTATATTGAAATCAACCCTTCTGCACATGTTTTCTTGCATGATATCTGACCATTCATAAATAATACAGATCTGAGTTAATCGTTGTTAAGACTAAATCCAATACAGAAAGATTTGCAGCCAAGCCCTCTATAGAGCATTCTCTCAATTTGTTCGATTCTTTGTTTGGTTCAGTGCTTCGTGTTATGGACATTATGATGTAGGTTGTTATCTTTAACATTTTAATTTGCTGAGTAGGGCCCACACAATTGAGAACCCTCTTCAACTCTTAAGTCTTAATTGGTCAAGAATATATTATATTAAACTATTCCTCATTAAGTACAGAACATCTGTAAATATCAGAGCCACGAGTTTAAGGTCAGAAATACAAGAAAACTACCACCTGCCTCAGTTGTTTCTTCTTGATCGTTAGCGCTACTATACTCTCTGCTGTCCTGCTTACAAACACCATAATGGAACAGTCACGACTGCCCGTCTTAACAGAGTTAGAGTGTGAGACTGGCATGTTGTAAAACCTTTTCTAGTCAACATCGCTGAACATGGGGGAATATTGTGATTGGTGAACTATGCCCAAACAGAAATCTGATAAGAACCTCTCAAAATAAATCTGATAAGAAGAGCCCTGTCATAACTTCACAAGTGTTAAAGGTCAATGGTGGTATGATTGGAAGACTGTAGATAGATAGAGATGAATTGATATACATGAACGGCTTATTGGTCGAGACAGCTGCTCTCTGTAATAGGCCTGGACATGTGTCATCAGAATCAAGCATTTCCTCCACAGTACGAGGTTGGCAAACTGTGATACCAAATGGATCCTTAACTACAATTCAGTCTGCTACTATTCGCCTAAGCTGTCACGGCTAGCTTGGTAGAACCAGTGCTGCTTAAATCGCCATCAAGATAAGAATTTTCTTGCGAAACAGAGGTGCTTTTAGATAAACTAACTATCAATCCTCTAATGGTCAGTGATATCTTCTTCAAGCATGTTAAATTTAATCAGCCAATACAATGTACACATGTGTTATTTTTTAAAATATTCCAGTAGTTATTTGAGAAACATAATTAGGAAGCGTGCTTAGCTAAGTTGGTGGAAAGGTGCGGGTGTACATCCCCGCCACCCAGGTTTTGGTTCTCTACAACTTGGATATGGTTCACTATTTTTTTAGTTTATTTAATAGGTACTTCGTATTAGGTATCCATCATTTCTTCCCGACATATCTGGCTACAGAAACAGGAAAATCATCTTATTTTTTCTGACGTCTTACAATTTACTTTTCCTTTTGACAAACATCCGACACATTTACGGTAGGGGTCTGAGAATTGTTTCGTATCATTGACAGCAATATATTTTGTTTTCCACTTCATGATAAATCGAACATACCAGTGCCATTCTAGTTTCCTATTTCAGTACATATAATATAAGATATTCTGTAGTACATAAGCAGTTTCCGGTTTGTACGATAACAGTGTTTGTTATGTTTTCTCCATGAAGATTCAGCTCTGTGTGTTTAAATTTTCATGGTGAATGTACATTGTGCAAATCATTCTTGCTTCATGTGCAGCATATGGTCTATGACTTATTTCATCTTCCATCCCTTTGTTAAACTTATTTTTGTTCCAGGATGCTTGTGTATGAGTACGTGAATAACGGAAACTTAGAGCAGTGGATTCACGGCGCCATGCGGCAGCACGGTGTTCTTACCTGGGAAGCTCGAATGAAAATCATTCTTGGAATTGCTAAAGCGTAAGAATCAAATCATTCATCTCTTTGCACATTTCATTACGCACACTTTTAGTTGGGCAAGACATTATATCAAACTAAATGATATGCAGGCTTGCTTATCTACATGAAGCCATAGAGCCAAAAGTTGTGCACCGTGATATCAAATCAAGCAATATCCTAATTGACGAGGATTTCAATGGGAAGCTTTCTGATTTTGGATTGGCCAAGATGTTGGGTGCTGGGAAGAGCCATATCACGACTCGCGTTATGGGAACCTTCGGGTATGCCACTGTTGTTTTTGTAATTTATAATTACCTGGCTGTAGTCATGGAAATGTTTGATATTCACATACAGCAGGAGCTTTTAAATGTTAGAAGATTTTTGTTCTTCGTGTATAAAAGCAGTTAGCTTTGTAGGAGCACTGAACTTTTATGCTGCCGTCGTTTCAGGTATGTGGCCCCTGAATATGCCAACACAGGTCTGTTAAACGAGAAGAGCGATGTCTACAGTTTCGGTGTGCTGCTACTGGAAGCAGTTACTGGGAGGGATCCTGTCGACTATGGTCGGCCAGCCAATGAGGTGAGGATATATTCTACCCATAGTTAAAAAAAGGCGCGCCTAAGCAAGCACTAACGCCTAACTGCGCTGCGCTTAATCTGTGCATAAGCATACGCGTTGATCAGAAAAGTGCAAGGCGGTGGCAAAACGCACAATTAACGCCTAGCGCTTTTTTGAACTATGATTCATTGATTCTACCATCTCAAGTGTATCAGCTTGATCAGTAGTAGCCCATACATACTATTCCAGTGTCCATTTTGTTTCAACAGCAAAATAAACATCATTTAAACCTAGTCCCATTTCTGTTACTTGGCAACTAATTTTTTTCTGTTGTGTTACCTGTTGGCTGCTGGGAATGTATGTTAATCATTTAAACCTATGACATGAATGACGTGCAGGTGCATCTGGTGGAGTGGCTCAAAATGATGGTTGGCACGAAGAGAGCCGACGAGGTGGTGGACCGTGACATGGAGGTGAAGCCAACCATCCGTGCTCTCAAGCGCGCCCTCCTAGTGGCGCTGCGGTGCGTCGACCCGGACTCCGAGAAGAGACCCACGATGGGTCACGTCGTCCGGATGCTCGAGGCAGAGGACGTCCCGTCGCGGGAGGTTGTACCACCTTACCCACCGCTTCCTCCCACAACGCCATTTCCTGACCATATACCTGAATGTTTTGTTCTGATCTTATACTGAAGGACCGGAGGAGCCGGAGGGGCGGCCACGCCGGCGGTGGCAACGCGGACGCCGAGTCCAAGGCGAGCTCGAGCGAGTTCGAGGTGAGCGGCGACTCGGGGCCCTCGGCGAGGTTCCAGCCCTGAAGAACGGCGTCGTCGACGAGCGAGGGCGTCCCCGAGAACTCGGCCCCGGCCGAGGGCAGTAGAGATAGCATGATGGGCATTTCCTGTAGGACATTGCATTGCATTGCGCTTCATTTTGCATTGTAGGCGGTAGAGAGAGAGAGCAGTGCTGATTGATCATGCGTGATCATCATCATCATCCCCTGAGACTGAGAAGTGAGAACCTTTGCTGTAGCTTCGTTTGGGCAACCCTGTACAGATCGTTTCCTCCTTTCTTTTCTGTTTTCTTTGTCTAGGGTATCTCTTTGAATGAACAATCAATAAACCTATTAAGATTTTCTAGGGTATTAAGATTGTATTATTAAACGTCCTTTAGTTAGCTTCATTTCCATGATGCTTCATATATTCGCAGGTGGATTTTTTGCTCTCAGGCTTCATGGAGCCTGAAATTTCCAAAAATTCAAAAGAAAAAACTTTTTAAGTTTTCAAAAATCTGAAGATAAATATTGTTTATGTTTCTAAATGCAAGATGTACATCCTGTATTTAGGAACAAAGGGTGTATAAGTGTACTTATAGATGCATGCTGGATGTGTGTAAAATTCATCATGAAATATGTTTTGACGTGCTTTGCAAAAAAACATTTACTTTTATAGTGAATAATACATGTGCTAGAAATATGTGATTTTTTGTATAGCTCGTATATAAATGCCATGAACTTTGCAGACAAGTAATATATATCCATATGTATGTGTTTTTTTTCAGAATTCCTTAAAACCTAGAGAAAATTTGTTGTTTCGTATTGAGGTCTCCAAATTCGTACAAAATAATACCAACTTCTACAGTGCAGGGTTTGTATCTTTAGATGCATCATCAAATATACTTTCCCTTTTTTTTTGCAACATTAAATATTTAGTAGTGTTTTCCATAGACCTGGCTGAAGATAATTTGTCGTTGTTGTTGTTGACATTTGTTCAAAACAATACACTTTCTAAACACTACTAGTACGTAGTATGGTGTTCATGCAATTTTCATTGACGTGAAATGGAGTTATGCCAAAAAAAAACATCATGTGAAGTTATGCAAAAACAGAGAAACAATTTTTTTGAGAAAAAAAGAAGAGCAATTTGTTGAGGGCTAACACGGCGGCACAGGCCCAGTGAGGCTCACGCGAGCGCACGGCCCATTCGCGAGCCCGGAAATATCTCATCCGTCCGGCTCGCATAAACCCCGTACGGTTTCTCCCCACCAGAATCCCCATTCTCCGCCCCTCGCGCCGCCATGGCCACCGCCGCCGCCGCCGCCGCCATCCACCGGGCCGCCGGCCCGATGCGCTCCGTCGCGCTCGTCTCCTCCAGGTCCCGCTCCCTCCTCCACCTCCTCACCCCCGCCCGCGCCCTCTCCTCGTCCCACGCCTACCACCCCTCCGCCGCCGCCGCCGTCCCCAGCCAGGGCCACCAGCACCCGC